TTTCCTTTCCTCCAGGTAAGTGAAGGACAATGGCTCGTACAAAGCAGACCGCCCGTAAATCCACTGGGGGGAAAGCTCCACGTAAACAGCTGGCCACCAAAGCTGCCAGGAAAAGCGCTCCCTCTACTGGCGGAGTCAAGAAACCTCATCGCTACAGGTAAGGAAATGGTGGGTGGCCCTGATGACGGCCGTGCTCAACCGCCCCCGCCACTATCGTCACCAGAGACCTGGCAGGCGGCCACGTGGGCTCAAAGTTCTCCCTCTCCTTCCTCCCAGGCCGGGCACTGTCGCTCTCCGCGAGATCCGCCGTTATCAGAAGTCAACAGAGCTGCTGATCCGTAAGCTTCCCTTCCAGCGGTTGGTAAGGGAAATTGCCCAAGACTTCAAGACGGACTTGAGGTTCCAGAGTGCGGCTATCGGCGCGCTGCAGGTACTTGCGGACGGTTGCCTGGCTGCTATTTCGGTTGGGGAATTTGAGGAAGCTTGGGGAGCAGGTGCAGTCTTTCCTGAAGGCTCCTAACAAGTCTCTCCCTCTTGTGTCCTTGAAACAGGAGGCTAGTGAAGCGTATCTGGTGGGTCTCTTTGAAGATACAAACCTGTGTGCCATCCATGCCAAGAGAGTCACCATCATGCCCAAAGACATCCAGTTGGCTCGCAGGATACGGGGAGAGAGAGCTTAAGTGAAGGCAGTTTTTATGGTGTTTTGTAGTAAATTCTGTAAAATACTTTGGTTTTAATTTGTGACTTTTTTTGTAAGAAATTGTTTATAATATGTTGCATTTGTACTTAAGTCATTCCATCTTTCACTCAGGATGAATGCTCAAAGTGACTGTTCACACAAACCTCAGTGATGTGAGCCTTGTTGCTCAGAAGTGACAAGTTGCTAATATGCAGAAGGGATGGGTGATCTTTCTTGCTTCTCATGCATGTTTCTGTATGTTAATGACTTGTTGGGTAGCTAAACTTGTAAGGTACTAGAATTGATATAAATGTGTACAGGGTCCTTTTGCAATAAAACTGGTTATGACTTGATCCAAGTGTTTAACAATTGGGGCTGTTAAGTCTGACCATACATCACTGTGATAGAATGTGGACTTTTCAGAGGGTGCAACTACAAGTCTTAACCACAGTGTAACTTACAGTTTCCTAAAAAAAGAAAAAAGTAAACCTGGCAGCTATAGAATACACTATGTGCATTTATAATAGCTATTTTATATATTGTAGTGTCAACATTTTTAAATTAAATGTTTTACATTCACACGTGAGGAGTCGTGTCATTGGTGTGTCATGTGGCTAAGTAATAAGCTGGCTCTTCATTGGCTGAAGTGTTCTAGGAAGCACCTCTCTTCTGGGTTTTTTCTGTTTTTATTTGGTTTGGGTGGTGTGTTTTTGGTTTTTTTGTGTTGTATAGGAGAGTAAGGGTGTAGGACTTGGATTTGCTAACTACTAGCATAGCTTACTGCATGACTGACTAAAGGGGAAGCTTAGAGCTGTATCCTCTGGTTGCTTTTTGAAGGTCAGGGATGTTGGCTATTTTCCCCCCCCACTGTCTCTAAGCTTGAGGTAGCAAATTTTGAGATGAGTATCTTAAAGCATCAATTATGCTGAAACCTCACTAAAACTGAATATTTAAATTATTCTCAGGCTTTTAGTTCTTGTGCTCAAGGGGAGGAGGGGAAACCAGCTCAAGTATAGCTGCTCCAAGTAAGATGTGCTATGTAGCAGCCTTGAAGAATCCTTAATTTTAAGGACAAAAGAGTGGGAGGCCTATTGAAATGAAAGCTTCTACACTGAATAATGGCATGTTTGGCTTCAAGGACAATGGAATTTTTTTTAGGGGTTTTGAGGCACTTCTAAGGGAACTTAGAGCCTTTCAATTATGAGTTATGCAGCTGTGAGCAAGCTTTAATAAACAGGCAAACTTCTATTTTGGGCTCAGTTCAGGTTCAAAACCTGTCCCTGGAAAGAGGAAATGCCTTTCAAGAGTGACAATTTGCACTTAAAGCTATAAAAAGGAAAAAGTGTATAGGTATGGAGTAAATTTGAGCTATTTCTGATCTGTTCAAGGTGGTGGAGGAAGAAAAAGTAACAAAAATAAGCTTCTATGAATCTAATTAGCCACAAAGCACCATCTTAAGTTTTGCGTACATACTTAAGCTGTAGTTACCAGATGATCAACTCTAGGACTGTAGTAGTGAGACTGAAGTTATAGCTAATATTAAATCTTTTCCTTGTCAGTTATAAATAGGGTAGCCTCGTTTAAATACACAGGACATGCCTTATAACAATAAAATGGAAGCATGGAATAGCTCAAGTAATTATTCTCCACTTGATTTATTCTAAGTAAACTTTTAAAAGTTTTCAGTAAAGCTCTCCATAAAAAAGATTACATTTTAAGAACAAAATAATTTTATACAAAAGTGCAGGTTACAGCACCAGCTTTAAGAGTAACTCAAAGACATGATGCATTTGAAATATTTCCTTTCACAAGGTTAAAAAATAAAGCTCTACAGCCAGTCCATGGGGAACAGCAGGAAATAGCATCTTAGTCTTAAGACCTGAGTTGGTAGGGTCTCAAACAGCTGACAAAGTTGGGCTGTCAGGAAGGCTCCAAATCTGGGTCAGCGCCGTGCCTGGAGGAAGCTCATAGCTAGAGCCATCGCTTTCCCTTCTCATCAGACAAACCATTCAGTGTGTTTAAATCCAGCAGCTAAGGGAACAAGCATGCATTACCAATGACTCTCACAGTGGGGGCAGCACCCCCTGCTCACTTTGCCTCATCCTGTAAAACTAGTTTGGGGTACGTTACCATTTCTTACAAATAAAGCGGTTGACTGTATAGTTGTTGAAGCCATCTTGCTCTCTCGCCCTGAATCTCAGCTATTTTGCCAGAGCACCAAACTGAAATGTCCACACATCTAAGATACTTAGGGAATAACATCCTTGCACCCAGATTTCCAAAAATCAGTGCAAAAAGTTAAGCAGACAGAATATTACCATCTTGACTATTTTATTCCATTGTTAAGGGTGGTCCAATGTTTAGAGCGCTATCTAAGGACTTGCAAGAGTTAAGTTTCTGCTTCAGAACAGCCTCCTCCTGTGTGACCTCGGTAAGTCTTATTGTCTTGCTGTGCCTCAACTCCCCATCTGTAAAATGGGGATAAAAGTACTTTTCTACCTCAAGAGTGTTGTGTAAATTTATATATTAAAAATGGGGAGGCATTACAGTATTGCAGCTATATGAAACACCTCAAATACTTTCTTTGGGTATGGTAACCTTAGAATTTTTACACTTGTTTTGTAACTTACTTTTAGTCATATCTTGAAGCAAGAATCTGAACTTCCAATGGAAAAAATACTTCTTAAACACTAATCTTTTGAAATACCATTGAACATCACTGATTTAGAGATGGTGAAACACTTCAGCATATCTTCTACCCTAAAATCAAATTACCTGGTATATCTAGGATGTGCTAAAAGTTTCTTTGGTGGACATTTAAAGCTATTCCATTGTACGTACCCAAGCTAATAAAACTTCAGCAAAACACGGTGGGAGTCAGTGTCTGCACGTGGCAGATGGTGGTGGAAATTCTTCATATTCCTCTTTGTTGAACTGACATCTAAATCAGTAAAACCTTGGCTTACCGATTCTCTTGATGACTTCTTCACATTCTTCCTGAGAATTGGATTCAAACACGAGGCAGGCAAAGGTACTTTGTTCAGGCATCTCTGGTGAAACCCTGAATAAGGAAAATCCCCATCAATGGGCAAAATTCATCTTGCTAACATGGTGATACTTAAAATGGGGCTGTAGTACAGGAAGCATTACAGCCCAAGCTCACGACCTCCAATGCACCTGTCTGTGTGTGATCATCACAGCAAGGCCATGGGGTCCGTGTGGAAGTTTGGATAAATTACAGCTCTCTTGAGAGCTTGTCCCCTGGTGCAGCCTCTGCCAGACACTACCTTGACATTAAAAGTTGAATTGATAGCCCTGGTAGGTACACATGGGACCCTGGCCTGACATCCCTTTTGACCGATTGCTACACATAAGAGCTAAGCATTCCAAATCCAAATCTTTTAAAATACCTCCAAGTTTATTCTTTATTTGAGACTTGTTTAATGCTCTGTATGAAACTCTAGTTAATGAATTCAGGAGCCCAGCCACTGGAACATGACAGCCACTTTATCCACAAGTGACACTTACGCAACACAGAAGGCAAAGAGATTGCTGTTGTCCAAACGCCGACCTACACAGGAGATCTCTGGATAAGGGTAGTGGAGCAGAACCTATTGTGTAAGTCAGGAGAGAAAGATGTGATGAGAAACAAGGCTGTGACAGTGCAGGATCCTGAATCCTGTCAAATATCTATAGACCTATAGTCTGTCCACTCATTCTGGGCTTAAATGAACCACTGCAAGAATACAGCTTGAGAGACTTTCTGTAGTCCATGGAGAAGAGTCAGAGCAGCCATGAGCATACGTACGCAGCAAAACAGTTCTCATTGTCCAACACCATCATGTACAGAGGAAGCCCAGTCCAATTAATACAAACGAAACACAGATCAAAGCAAAACCACACTACACAAAGCCTGACGGGACACACATCTACGTTTGTACAAACCAAAGTGTCTTGGTAGATTTCAGCTCAACTCAACTCACCTTGGAAGAAGTTCTCTCTTGTATGAGGACTTCGGTTTCTTTCACGTCAAATAAAACTTCCTGAACAAACAGAAAACAATCACAGCTTTTTGGTGTTGCATTTAATAAAGATGTGAGCAAGACAAAAATTCACTAGGAGGTGCTATATATTATATGGAAGCCTTCCACAGCTGGTGACAAAAGGGCTAATTGGTGCAGGGTACGGTAAATGAACTTTTCTGCTGTTCAGATTTTGCTTCAAATTCAAGAGGTTGTGATGGCAAATGATCCTAGTAAGTCTAGTCTCTGCTGGAGATTTGTCAGCATCACAAAACAGCCACACGAATGTCATCTAACTGTTAGACTTTTGCTCGGGGAGCCTAGGCTGGGAACAGTGGAGGAAGCTTCAGATCTTGATGGGCAGAGGTGGGTGAGGGAAATGCTTAGGTTTTCCTGCTGGGAAACTCAGAGGCCCCAATTCAGGGGTGTAGTCCATCTTTCCACCAGCCTCTAAGGCATGTTAACCACCACCCATTTTGGTGTGGCAGCATTTTAAACCTTTACAAGCAGTAGGGCAACAGGGAATGGGGCCCCAAACAGTCATCGACTAAGGACAAATCTACAGATTTGCCAAGCTGATTAAGTGCCCTTGTGCAGATCACTGCATTTCCCCTAAACTTTTCTGTTCTGCTACCACAATTCCTTCTAGGATCTAAAATAGCTGGGGAAGCTTGTTGATCACGCCAGCCAGGACAAAATGAACCAGAAGCCAGGGTGAAAGGAAAGCATGGACAGAACTGAGCCCTTCCTACACTTACCTTACAAAGTTGTGGTGGCAGCTTCAAAAGTCGCCCTTTCCTACGTAAATGCCAAGTACGCCTGTTACCCAGACACCAGGTTTGTTGGATTGAAGCGTTAGTATTAGAGCTGGGGCTGATTCTCATTCAGACCATCTCTCTCCTTCTCCAGACACACACAGTCCATTTAAGTCCATTTACTCAGGGTCTGTTCACTGGACTCAGCCATGGGATTACTCTTCAGCACTCCTGTGGCAGTGGGGGCCAACCTTTTTGGCAGGCATGTCACAGATTAACCACACATCCTCCCCGGGTGCCACTCTAATCCCCTTTCCCTCTTTTCAAAGCTCTCATGCATGCATGTGCATGTATAAGCACACAACCCCAGTGCGTGCGTGTACACACACACACACACACACACACACACACCCTCTTTGTGCTAGACTTGGCTTCTTAGCAAATTATCGACTAAATAAATCATTGCTGTATAGCATAAACTTTTGTAAGTGGCACACCTCTGATTTAGTCTATAAGGTGCAAATTTACTCTGCTGTCTGCCTGACTTCTGATCAACAAAGCCACCTACCTCTCTTTTCTTAGCAAATGCCAGCATTGCCACTCACATACAAAAGTGGGAAACTTATCCTAGGTTCTAACAGGAATTGTGCATCCCTTTTAGCAGCTATAGTATCAAGGGATGCACAAGTGAAGGGAAAGCCAGCCCTTGCTACAATACCAAGGATGTCACGACCCTCTCCAGAAGTGACCCTAACCTATTCTAGGCTGTTTTCACTCTAACCTATGATCAGAGTGATCCATTGT